TCAGTATATCATCTCACCGGAGGTAAATTCGAACATCTATTTTATGCTCTGTGTTTCTCTGACAACCGGGCGTCGATAATGCGCCCTGTCCGCAATCTACAGCTAGGTCTTGCTCGTCGGGAGTCCTACGAAAGGATTATATAGATAAAGTTCTGATTTTAAAAAAACCAAACTACAAAATCAGAAACAGAAATGGATATGGGTATAAATACGTACCAGCCAATCAGTACGTCAAGTTACGGGCATTTTTGGTCCTGAAGAGCTTTTCGTACACTAAAGGTATGCCCATGACAGTAAGTATGCGTCCACTTGATAAACGACATCATGAAATCTTAAGAAATAAGATTTTAAAAATTTCACAAAAATACATCAACTAATATTTAGAACATGCTAGTTACCTGCACGATCCACTCTCATTAAAAATGTATAATAAAAACCGAATTTTATTCAACTATACAACGAAACAACTTTGAGAACATCAACTTCAGAGGTAAAAGTTCAGATTTCGTTGAACGTTAAACTAAAGCTATACTCTGATATGCTACTATGACTATGATACTATGATGGACATTATGAAGCTATACTACTACCCTTAACAAATAAAACGGTAACTTATTCTCACAGCTCACACACAACGTTCCAGAATTTTCTGCTCAATTTCCTCGCGCGGCTTGTGAGCGCTGACGTTTTCGGATGAAACAATTTGACGCTGTAATATTTCGGATCATCAGAAAATCTAAAAATTATACAGAATGTACCTCTCCATCGAAAAGAACTACAGCTCCAGGGTTGGTGTTGTTTGCCGCTTCACACAGAGAGTCAGCCTGAAAAGAGATTACTTGGTCCAAGCTGGAAGTTCCGAAAACAGCGCTTTACATCTGCATAACGGACCATTGAAACATGGTCCTCGATGTCACTGTGCAGCTCCTAGATCCTCCCTGAAGTCTTACGACTTGCGATTTTCAACATCTTACCTTTGTGTTAACAGTATAAATATTTACAATTCTAATAACCTGATCGTTCAAACCATTTACTACTTGCTGGAAAAATCCTTTTTCCTAGGGATTTCGCTAGACAAACGTTACTTCAGTTACTTTCTGTGCAACCTAATAAAATAAGACCTTGGAATTGTATGCGCGTGCGCCTGGATCGCCCTAATAACAAATTTGAGCCACGCCTGGCGTTGCTGCGCCGCACGCCATCGGATCGCTCCATGTATCAAGAACATCTGTAGCAGAGTTGACCAGTCGTTGCAAACACAAATCAGAGAAAAAATGTGTGTCTAGATTAACTGTAGCGCGAAGTGAAGGTCAGCCGTTACTGTCAAAAGCCGGTCCTGAGTGAAATTTCGCTCCATGGCTAACGATTTCTGTCACTGCACACCTTACCACTTTATACCGATTTGTCAAATCCACTATATTATTAGCATACACTACTAATCTTGCTGACAAAGTCACAGTTTCGTGGCAGACTACTGGGAGTATAGAAGGTGAGCCAGAGTTCAGCCGATCCCACCATTTCAACTCAAGTAGACAAATTAAAAGATGCTCGGTGAAGTTTCTATCAGCGAGATGAAAGGCACATGCATTCTTTTTAATTTCCGAAAAAGTGGCACTCGCAGCCATACGGTTCCAAAAACACTTTCACTTTCACTTCCATTTTATTACACCAGCCTAAGTTCGTGTG